AAGCGTGACAGAAGGCCAGCATTACAGTCGCATGTCTCACCCTCCATTTCTCCTCGACAGGGAAGTGATGACAGGACCACTGTAGGACGATGGGATTGCCTTGGAGCCTGGGAATGCTTGCATTTTATTTATTACCCACCCCAGCCCCCAAAAACACCTCTGTCATCACCACGACAGAGCGGGAAGTGGGCTTGCGAGAGGTACGGAAGCGGCTGCAAGCTTCCGGCAGCTGGTTTTATAGTTTAGCATTGGAGAGGAGGAAATAAGCATTGCTTTTTCAAATGCACAGGGAATGGAAGTGTGACGGAGCTCACTGATTCCTGGAGGGGATGAGCTAAGGTTCTTTGGGATAATCAGCTTATCGTTGTAGCTTTTTACTTAGGTGGACTAAACTCTTCGGTGTGCATTTACGTATTTATTGCTTTTATGACCTTTAAGAGGTGCAAACCTGATGGAATGAGTAGACTTTAAAATACCCCGGGGTAATTTTCTTTGGCAGACAGTTTTGCCTGTTTGTCCTTGCTCTAAAGTCAGAGTTTCTTCTCTGCCTGCTATAATCAGGGGAGAGTTCTAGAACTTTCTCCGTGATGATGCCACATTTCAGACGATCAGAAGAAAAATCCACCAGTGCCTTTGAGCTTCTTCAGTCAAGCGTCCTTTGGTGCCTCAGTCTGTGCAATGTGAGGTCAAGACATCCTCTAGGGCAGTCAACCTAGTCTTATTCAAGGGCATGACCTTGAAGGCAGCTGTAACTAGAAAGGTCAGATGACCACATTAGTAATAGCCACAGGCTCTGCCTTGACCATGACTTCGGAAAGCACCTGGCAGGGTGGACAGTGCTAGGACCAGCACCGTCAAGTTGAAGTGGACTTGTCTCAGGTATGAGCTGTCCAGTCCCCTTCCTGTCCTCCCCGACCAAGCCAATGTCGCTCTCAGAGACAGTCCTCCCTCTTACTTGTGGGGAGCCTGAGCCAAGGCTTCCTCTGGTCCAAACCCTGCTTCTCCATGAGGTGAGTGCAGTGTTAAGAGCCCTATCAGCTCCAACAGCTGATCTGTGTGGGTAAAATTGGCCTAATTTTGCTAAAACAATCAGAAAGCAAAACCAAACCAGGAGAGTTTGCAAGAACATTTTCTTAAAAACAGGACAAAGAAACACATCGGAATCATATTCAGTCCGGAATCCTGGCAGGGTCCCCACCTGTCTCCTCAGTACCAGGTTGGCCGCCTGCTAAGGGCTCCACCTCCCGCTGCTGCAGCTTGGCTAAGGGCACTCAGTCTCAGGCCAACATCCTTTTAGGATCCCAGAATACAAGCAACAGAAAGATGAGTGAGACAAGAGAAGGAAAAGGAAGGGGGTGGGGGGACACAAAGGCACCTGGGAGTTCCTGTTTCCACCAAGATTTCTTCTCGGAACAAAAGTGGGAGGAGAGGCGGGACACGGGAGGGAGCGGGGAGAGAAGGTGATGCTGGGTAGAGTAGGGAAAGAGGAGGAGCTAAAGGGAAGAAAAAGGAAGCGGAGGAAAGAGTGGGTGGGAAACGGGGCAATGCCCAGGAGAGAGCGCACCGCACTGCTTTTCCGTCCGACTGTCGCCAGGCCTGAAGCACAGACTTGCTGTGGTTCACCGAATTCAGTCCTGGGGAAGGGTCCAAGAGAAAGGCAAGCCAGCGGCTCAGCTTCTCTGAAAATGAGCTCACTCTGCAGCCCAGGGCGAGACCAAGGGCAGGAAAGACGCCCGCCCCGTGCGTGCCCTGTGCGTGCCCTGGCTTCGGGTCAGGGAGACAAGGGCCAGAAGCAGGGGCCCCCAGGGCACGCGCAAAGTTCTCTGTCCCTTAGAACTCAGGCCACCAGAGAGCCTTCCTTGCCAACGGGAGATTGTATTGCTGTCCCAAGCATTTGTTCTCCCCTTAATAATCAGCATACCAGGGTCTTTGGGGGGAAGAGGGAGAGAACTGCCAATAGGAGATTTCGTTTGCTGCCATCAACGCCTCTTAGCATGCAGAGTCACACGGTAGGAGGAAAAGCATTAATCTCCACCAGAAAGAACGGCCTCTGGGGCGCGAGGCGTCTAATCACTCGCGAGGCTGAGTCGGCAGTTTGCATGGAGACAGATCAGCGTCCCGATGCGCTCTGAATGGTGGACTTCATTGCATCAGGGGCGGGGGAGGGGGTCACGGACGGAAAAGAGGGTGTGGGCAAGTCGGGGGCTCTCCGGACTGGAAACACTGGGGGAATGAACAAATCTGCACGGGCCTTCCGGGCTGCCCACGGGAGATGCTCCTTCCGTGATCCGTCCTCCACCTGCCAATCATCTCGGGCACCCCCATCATACCTGGGAGATGTTTGCTCGGTGCACAGTGTTCTATAATCCTCGGAGGTGGGATTTCGCAGCACAGCAATGCTTTTTTGCCTTTGACATTCTCCGCGGCAGGATTTATTGCCTCCAAGACAGATGTGACTTGAATCGATTATGGCTTTTAAGCAGTCACTCTGCAAAGAGCCGGCAGGTTCCCTGGAAGACTTTTTGCCTGAATTCATTCAACTTAGAAGCTGATGTCAGAGGATTTCGTCATCATCTAATACCATTAAGAGCCCTTTGGGTATGAAACTAAGAGGTCTATTTTATCACCCACATTAAGGAACTTGGGTACCACTTAAGTCCATAGCACACAGACCTAGAGGACCCCTCTTCACATCACTGGGCACAGACAGAAAGGAAACACACCCATGCAAGTGATAGTCACACCCTACCAACTTCCCCCACTGGTGACCTTGAAATAAGTATGTCCATCTGTATTAGGAAATGAGGTGAGAAACAGCATTTAAAAATAATGAGTGCAAAATAAGTGAATTTCCCAACAAAGATGGCCAACAAAGATGCTCATTAAACAATGCACTGGTAGACGTCCACTTTACAACTCGAAGCCGCACATCACCCCGGTCGCCCTCACAAGCTTGGGGTTCCCGAGCATTTTCTAAGCTCGCGACACGAATCTGAGCGGGTGCTCCAGGGATGCTTGGAGGCCCGGGGCCGGGGTCTCAGGTCACACGATCCTCTCTGGCTTCAGCCAACAGCCTAGCATCCTAACCATAAATAATGTTTCCAAACGTCGGTGGGTGTGGAAGACATGGAGGTTGGCATTTTGAGACTAAACCAATCACAACCTACGTCATCCCTGATTAGTCTAACAAGGATGAGAAATCTTTGAACACCAAGAGGCAAGAGAAGAATGAGCGGCGTTTCCAACACTGTGTGATGTTGGTTCTGGATTTTCTGTGATGTTTGTCCTCGGGGGGAAACCCAGCCCCCCCTCCTCTGGGGAGTGTGCACCAGCCCTGCTCCACTCTCTCTGGCTAAGTGAGAACATTCTGGGTGGGAGCAAGAGAGAATGAGATATTAACATAGTGCTACTCAGTAACCTCATTATATGGGATATTTTCATCCATTACACAAAAAAGGAGAAAATTGCAATCAACACCACTAAGGATGAAAGATGTCCAATGAATTATGCATTGAGGAGGAGACAGGATTTCCGTGTGCAATGTTCAACAGTTTTGAAGTCCAGTTTTGCGCTCTTATAAACTCAAATGTGAAGGAAGGCGGCGGGGGTGGGGGGGAGCAGAAGATGAGTGGTTTTTGATTCTCTTGGATTTTGCAAACTGGGGTTTACACAATAGCTTTGGGGATTCATGTAAAGGATTCCCTGGGCGGGGGCGTTAGCTATGAAATCAGGTCCAGGCACTGAAGAAAGCCAATCCTTTCAAGAACAATTTGCTCTCTTTTATTCAGTAAATTGCTCTAAATTTCTTTTTTTTTCCCCTTGAGCTTTCAAATTGGCTGTTGCAGCTTCAGAATCCTTGCTTTCTGCACCAGGCAGGCTTGGGGGAAAGGAGAAGCTGAATGGGCCGCGCAGAATAAAGAGGAGGAGGACGGGGAATCGAAATGAGCGGCTTTGCATAATGTGGGCCATCTCAGCAGAGGGCTCCAAACTCCCGCAGGGCAGCCTCCAACACCGACAGGTGAGAGAGACTTCAACACATCGCCCGCGCCGGCTCAAGTCTTCATGGTACAAGGGCCAGGCTTCAGGAGCGATTTGAAAAATTAAACATCAGCAGGGAAGAGACAAAAGCTAAGAAAACACAGTTCAAAATCGCAGCTAGAGAGCAGCACGCGGTGACCACGTCCGTCGACCTCACGGCCGTTGAGCCGCCAACAAGCTCGGTAAGAAAGCTCCAGTGCAAACTAACAGCGAACCAGCATGCCCAGGGAACATTCCAGAAGCACCGAGAGAGTCCAAGTAGGTAGCAATGACACGCGACCCCGCTCGGCGTGGTTCCCCAAATGCGGAAAACCATCCATTCTCTTACAACACCTGGCGTCTGCCTGTCAACCTACCTGGAGACGCTCAGCCCCCGAGGCCAGAGGAGCTGATAGGTCACTTTTTAAATATTTCCATAAAATAATGTACAAGGAGAAATCTTGAAAAACAGTATCTCTACAACAACACGCCATGAGCTAAATACCTTCTGCAACAAATCCATTGCTGGCATTAAAGCAAAACAAAACAAAACAGCACTGATCTACATACTGGGGATACCAAATAAACCAAAATAACCATTAGCTGCTCGGAGGTGCTGTTCAGAGAAAGTCTTCGCTCTACTCTGTCACCCTTGCCAGCTTTGACGCCTGCCAAGCCTGTATGTAAATGGAGTTGTACTTTTCCAAAGCTAATGGGAGATCTGGTAAACCCTCTGAGGCAACACGTATATTATTTCTCAGCCCTGTTATTTTCACTTAAAAACAAGCAATTTTAATAACAGATCTTTAGGAAGACTTAATCAGAGCCCCAACGCGCAGTATAAGCAGAACGCCGGTTGCACGGCTGTTTGTGGCAGAGGCAGCCTACAGCAGGCACAGGAGTTGGAAGCCATTGAACCGCTAACACCGAGAACGACTTAGAAACCACCGGCTCTCCACGGGACGTCGCATCGACCTCAGTACCTGAGCGTCCATCAGCAGATGTCTCATCAGCACCATGGAACTCTTGAGCGTCTCCTTCTCCGCGGGCAGAAAGGGGTCCCTGTCCTCCTCCAGAGCCTTCGACTTGGTGACAATGAAGTGGGAAATCTGGTCATTCAGGGTGTGCAGCGACTGCACGGCTGCAGGAGGAGAAAGAGGGAAACACAGGGTTATTCCTGGGAGTGTCCGAGGCGATACGGCTGCAGTTCTCAGGGGAGAAGCGAGGGTCCATACACAGGTACACAGCCGGCAGGTATCCAGAACCCGAAGCCCCTACCAACGCCTTCACAGCTCGTGAACGTTTATCCAGCACTCTTCAAGAGCCACGGACACCGCCTTGAGCAAAGCCAGCCGTGGGACCCTCCCTCAGGCAGTGTAGACTCACTGGGACACTAGAAAGGAGCAAGTTTGCAAATCAACCTGGGGCTATGGCTGCACAGCAGGTGCACATGGACCACAGGGGCCAGCAGGGTGTTAGGGGTGAGCTCTCGGAGCTAGATTTACACAAATGGAAATGGAGTTGGTTGGCCACTCGGCCCCTAAGCACATGGCCTCTGTCATTAATGTTCAGGGAGGGATGGTGGCCATGTTTTTCCACCAGTGCCACTCATGGGCGGGGAGGATTATGACTTCACTATAATTCCCACAGCGATTATCATCTGACACGGGAGAGCGTTTAAGATTTTATACTTATTGATTACGCTTGTGGACTCTAATTTCTCTGCCAGCACTTGATAAGAGCTGTTCTGTCTAGGTGTTAATCCCATCTCCCGTCATCATCTCCCACAACTACAATGGCTGTTGTATCTACAGCCACGAGAAGGCACCCCGTACACTGCAGAATTCATTGTCGTACATTGTCTGGGATTAAAATCCCTCTCTTTATAGAATTTCTAGAATTTCCAGGGAAAACTATCACTCTAGACAAAGAACAAGTAAACCCTAGGTGTTCTCCAAGCCACTGCTCTACAGCGCAATTCCGAGGGGGAAAGAAGTCACAGAAAAGCCGGAATTGGATAGAGTGGCTTTGGGACTTCTGCTTCCAGCCACAAGGGAGCCAAGAGTCCAGATTATCATCTTGCCGTGAGTAAGTAGAAACCTGGATGATATTTGAGACTTGGTTATTTTTTAGACGATGAACAACAGGCCGTGTAGGGGACTGTGGTCATCGAAAAAGGAGAACAAACCAACTTAAGTCCCCTCTCCACGCCTTCTGCCAGGAGAGAATTTCCAAACATCAGCAAAGGGAGAGAGCCCCAGCGTGAGCCGAGCGATCCTGCTGCACCTCACTGATGGAGACAGGCGTGGGGCAGGGCACTGGGGCAGAGGGAGCCACACACCCGTCTCCAGATCTCTGCCATGGGCTTCCTGTGCACTGCTGGCTGTGTGCCCATATTGCACACAGCAGGGAGGAATCCTGCAGCACCAGGTAAGAGACTTCCAGGAGAGAACTGGAGCATTACAGCCAAGTAGTTCCCAGAGGTCACGTGGGGCCATGATCGTTGGCATGCCTTCCTGTCAAGACATCTTCCTGAAATCCAGGGCACCCCAGTGGGAACTCCACAAGGGCCATTTTTAAGAAGATATCTAGGCCAGCGCCGCAGCTCAATAGGCTAATCCTCTGCCTTGCGGCGCCAGCACACCAGGTTCTAGTCCCGGTCGGGGCGCCGGATTCTGTCCCGGTTGCCCCTCTTCCAGGCCAGCTCTCTGCTGTGGCCCGGGAGTGCAGTGGAGGATGGCCCAAGTCCTTGGGCCCTGCTCCCCATGGGAGACCAGAATAAGTACCTGGCTCCTGCCATTGGATCAGCGTGGTGCACCAGCCGCAGCGCGCCGGCCGTGGCAGCCATTAGAGGGTGAACCAATGGCAAAGGAAGACCTTTCTCTCTGTCTCTCTCTCTCTCACTATCCACTCTGCCTGTCAAAAAATTAAAAAAAAAAGAAGATATCTAAACAATGCCCAGACTAAAGTCTGCTCCACAACTATTCAAAACTAGCCGAAAAGTTGTGAAGAGATCAAACTGATCTGCAAGTAACCAAAACACTCACACACACACCAAAAAAACACCCAAGCATTTCTGTAGAAGTCTAACAAAACCTAGTACCCCAAAAGCATAATGCACAGTACTCAATAAATCTCATCTCACATATGAAGAAGGAGGAAATGTAAGAGTCCAGGGAAGATTCCAGAAGGAAGGGAAGGGACAGAGCTGGCAGGCGTGGCTGTCAGGTGGTGTTGTGGCACAGCGAGCTACGTTACCACCTGCAGTACCAGCATCCCAGGTCAGAGCACTGGTTCAAGTCCCTGCTGCTCCACTTCCAATCCAGCTCCCTGCTAATGGACCTGGCAAACCGATGGAGGACGGCCCAAGTGTTTGGGCTCCTGCCTCCCATATGGGAGACCCAGATGTGGTTCCAGGCACCTGGCTTCAGCCTGGCCCAGCCCAGGCCATGGTAGCCATTTGGGGGAAGGAATCAGCGGATGACAAATTCTCTCTCCCTCTCTCAGAAATGAATAAATCTTTTTTTTTAAAAAAAAGACAGCTTTGTAGGTTCAAAATTATAGAATAAAACATAACTATAATAATAAAACTATAATATTTAAATCAGAAGCAAATGGAACACCTAGGAATGAAAAATGTGGAACCTGGAATTAAATTGTCATGGACGAGGGGAATACATTAGACAACGCACACACACAGACACACACACACACAGTCCGTGAACTTGAGGTCACAACAATGAAATGAATGAAAATGAATTGTTATTGACAACGTGAAACTATGAAGCAGCATGCATGGGATCACAGTGTAGGTGGGAGAGTAGCTGAAAAAAGGTAGATTTTGTCCAAAATTTGATAAAACTAAACCCCCCAACCCAAGAATCCCCATAAACTCTAATCAAGGTAAACACAAAGGAAATTACGCCAAGGCATATTGTAGTCAAGTTACCAAGGAAGCAAACAAATGCATACATAGGGAGGGAAAAAAATCTTAACATCAGCCAGAGGACAGCAAGCCAAGTTACAATCAGAGAAACAAAGACGGATGGAAGTCTCATCAGAATCTATACAAACCAACAGATAAAGGAGTGACATTTTGAAAGGACTGAAAGCAGAAACTGTGCCAATTTAAAGTTCTGTAACCAACAATACCATCTTTCAAAGCTGAAGTTGAAAGACTTTCTTGAAGGTAAGAAACGCTAAGGAAACTCATCACCACTAGATTCATGCTAAAAGAAATGCTTACGGAATTTGTTCACGCAGAAGGAAAATGACCCGGGGTGAAAACTTCTATTTACAAAAAATGAAAAAAGAAAGTTGGGAAAGGGAAATGCATGAGTGACATAAACATATTTTCTCTTCATTTTGTTAATTTGGAAGAAAATTTTTAGCTTAAAACAAAATAATAACACAGGTGGGGTTGATTGCATGCATAGAAGGCAACATATATGACATCAACAGCACCAAGAATGACAAGGGCATAAACAGAAACCTACCTTTTATTTACAAAAGCTATATTTATTTATTCAAATTACAGAGAGAGGGAGAGCCAGGGAGTAAGATCTCTCATCCTTTGGTTTACTCCCTAGATAGCCCCAACAGGCAGCACTGGACCAGGCTAATGCCGACGCTTCTTCCAGGTCTCCCACGTGGGTTGCAGGGGCCTAAACACTTGAACCATCTTCTACTGCTTTTCCCAGGCCTTTAGCAAGGAGCTGGATTGGAAGTGGAGCTGCCGGGTCTCCAACCGGTGCCCGTATGGAATGCCTGTGTCACAGGCAGTAGCTTTACCCACTGCGCCACAAGGCCAGTCCCAGAAGTCTACCCATGTAAAGCTCATCTATTATATATAATGTGGTGCAAGACCCTGTACAGAAAGTGTTATAATAATTTTTGAAGCCAAACTGTGTTTAAAATACACATCGTCAATCCCTGAGTAAGCCCTAAAAATAAGAAATAGCACATAATAAACACAAGGTGGTTTTGAATTCAGATTTGCAAGACTGAGCATAGAGCTGCTCCTGCAAGCCAGACACAGGGGATGCAGGACAGGACGTCAGAGCCGCCTCACGCAGCCCAGGCAGACTCTAGCATCCTTTCCTGGGTGGGGAGGCGGGAGGGACTTGGCTAAGACAGACAAGCTACAAAGCATGGGGCCTCATTCCTGCTCCCCCAAATCCCTGTTCTCTGTAGGAGATGACTGGAGTGTGTTTGGGGGCCTGACAGAAGAAGTGCCTTAACGTCTCACCCCCTGCCCTGAGCAGCCCCGTGGCGGGATCTGGCAGGTGCAGGCCACTACTGGCAGCCAATGTTAGGGCAGAAAGGATGGCCGCACGACACTTCATATCAGAGACGATCAGAGGGCTCCACTGCCCTGCCCCCCTCACCCCACATCTCCATCACCCCTAGTGTCACTGGGGTTGAGGATTCCTCTCAACCAACTCCAGAAATGGCCAGGTGAGTCCATGGCCAAGACACCCGCCCCACAACAGGACAACACATCAGCCTCCTGAGAACCCAGGGAGAGGAGAAAGAGAAAGGCCAGAAAAGTGGCTTGGAGGCTCTGGTATTTCCCTGTGGCTGCCCAGATTGAAACCAGAGGCCTGAGAGTCACCGTCCGTGGGATGTGGGCTCCATACTCAAATCGAGTTCCACTGCAGAAAATTAAAGACAAAAGCAGTAACAACTGACTTTGGACTTGTCAGCTACACATCTGTTAATTCTCTGCCTACCCCCTTTCTCTTACCTGCAAATAGAAAGGTTGAGAGACACCAAGCCATAAGGAGAGCACTAGGTAGGCACTCAAATAACTAACTCGCATGGTCTGAGACCCACTGCTTGCACAATGCATGCCCCACTTCCCTACCGCATCCTGCCTTCCAGTACTTGGGCATGGAAGTCTCAAACACAGTCCCTAATTTCCAAGTCCTCTGCTTATAGACTGCACATTCTTGTGTCAACAAATCCCTTATGCCAATCCTTGGGGAAGGAAGAATTACTATCCATCCTTCCTTCCTTCCTTCCTTCCTTCCTTCCTTCCTTCCTTTCTCTCTCTCTCTCTCTCTCTCTCTCTCTCTCTCTCTCTCTCTTTCTTTCTTTTCTTTGACAGGCAGAGATAGACAATGACAGAGAGAGAGAGAG